AAGTAACACTTACCATCGATTAAACAAATTTGTAAGATATTCCGTGCACTCCCCTTTTGCTCTAACAATTAATAATTTGTCGTAAATTAACGTGATATACAATTCATCTTCTTAACCTATTTCTTTGCCTATTTTTATTCAGATTAATTTACAATAAATTATTGATTGTTAGAGCAAAAGGGAAGTGCACGGAATATTTTACAAATTTGTTTAATCGATTGCAAGTCACTTTATGGATATATATTTCTATTTCAATATATTTCGCAAGAATTTTTAACATGCATTTTCTCGCTTCTGACGTCATTAAAAAGAGATAGAATGCGAGGGGCCAAGAGTCTTAACCCATTCGCGAATTTTGCTCAATCACACAGAATCACACATTGGGGCAAGTTGCACTTGAAGAAAAATACACGGTAATAGCAGCTGCAACGTCGCAACTATGCGTGTTTAAATATGTGGAATTACACTGAGAGAAGAGGTTAATAGCTAATTTAACAAAATGCCAGTACCTGTCCGTAATAAATGATTTGATCACACAGGGCGACCCTATAGTGGGAACAAATGATTGGTTACTTTCAATTTGCTGCTTTAAGCAACACTTCTGCAATGAAGACGCAATTAACCTGACCTAAATAGACGAGAACAAATGCGACTTGTATCTCAGACGATGCATGTCTGTTAAAATGACTGATGACGAGAAATGACTTGTGACGGTAATCGTTCGTTTTTCTCTCGTTAAACAGCAAATATGCTTTCGTTCTGATAACCGAGGGACTTTTCTCAGTGTATAATACGTATAGTTCAATAAACTATCTTGTAGTTATTACAAAATTACTGAAGCTGTAGTTGCGATACAACTATAAAATAGTAGATTGAATTATATACATTAATTCTGCATACAGAACTCATATGGCTGTCACTTTCTAGTTGTCATCACCATGCCTTTTTTTCTCTAAGTGCACGCACTTATTGGCATGTCATTGATCATTGGCACTCTAGAAAAGCTTGGTTTTTCATGCAACCAGCGTTGCAGTTAAGTTTCTTGTCTATACTTTCTATAACTTCAAAAGAGATCGTCACAAATAGATACCTGTCTGTAAATCGCAAAGGAAACTTCAGAATGTCAATGACTAAGGGGGATTCCAAGAATAATGTTGTTCACCCTATCAGCCACTATTTAGCCGCGAGTGATTTTGCCAGACGGCGCTTTAACCTCGTGTCAGCTGTTCGCGAGGACGAAATGTCGCATTGGCATTACAGCATTATATTTATTCCGCTTTAAGAAAAGAAAAAATGAAGTGCGCGTATTATACAGAGCGGCGTTGTAACGCGTCCACGAGCGAGCAAAAACGAGGATGTCGCGGCATGTAGTAGATGTCGGAGAATGATGCTCCATTGTGCCCGCGTCTGACTTTGACAGAAGCTCGATGATTCATTCGCCGATCGGCAAGGACCGACTCGCCGCGTGTCGAGAAAGCGATTGCTTTCACACGCGGGTGTGAATCGCTCAGCCTCGACCGAGTGAAATGTGCGCGCCTCTGTGCGTGGTCGTACGTCGTGACCAAGTCTGCTTCCGGTTTTCCTTACGCGAGCGGGTTTTTAAAGAAAACACGTAATATTTTGCTTGGCTACACGCGCGTTTCGCAAGGCGACATTTTGTGAAGCTCCCGATCAAATTGATGAAAGAAAAGAATATTACGAGTCTTATTGGCTTAAGTAACTAGTTTTTTTATTGTATATCAGGAGAGCCTTTTCAACAATATATTTGACCAAGCTGACGAAATTCACGTATTGCTCGATGAGCTTATGATTGAAATTAACCTGAGCCTCGGGAGGGACCGAACGCTCGTTGAAGTTGTTGAGATTTCTCTGTGCGGGGAAAAGCACACCGAGAAAAGTGTTTGATACTTGCGACTATAATCACTATAAAAAATAATCACTATAAATTATAGCGAAAAAAGAATATTTTTTAAATTAAATTTTACTATAATATTAGTGATGATATAATCTTGTGTGTATACTACTGCCATTTTTGTGTTGGAGCAACCGTACCAAGAAGTATGGTTGGGTCTATAAAGATAATTATATTTTTAGTTAGATCAAGCATTTCTTTTCCTCTCACGGTGCATATGAATATCGTTATAATGATTACTTGGTTTAAACAAAATCGCCTTACGTCCAGCAAAAATATCCGGTCGCTTGAGGAAAAAAGAAATGTTATTTCCCATTTGCTCGCGAATGCGCTCCCGGGAGGCGGGCGATGAACGGTAAAACGAGGCTCGTTTCTGCACAGCTTCGAAGAACGCAACGGAATTCCCCTGAGCGCGGCTGAGAATCATCTTATTCGGGTATTCTCATCCATCCTGTCTCCTTAATGACCGCGATGCAGTTGGCAACGGTACAACGTGATCGTTTGACGGAATTATGTGCATGCTAAGTACGCGCATACCAAAAGGGTTTTTACTCGGCGGTACATCGCGCAGCGATAAATCATAGAGTCCTTCGAGCAGAAACGCCGAGTATTCTCTCCTTCCGCGTAGGGCCGTGTTCTTCCCTTCCTCCCTCTTTCCCTCTTCTTTTCGTGAAAATTTCCAATTTATTTTGTCTCTCGGCAATATTCGAAATTCGTACTTATTACATTGTAACGTGCAAATGTGAATTTCTACCGCGGGAGGATCAGTCACTCGCGATGCTTATTCGTGTTGAACGCGGCCACGCCGATAACGCCGGATGATTCCGCATTTATCATGATCCTCATTAACGCGCGCTCATTGGAACGCCAAATAATCGAGCGATTGTGTTCTCGCGGCGAAAGCCCGGCTAGATAAAGGCGCGCAATTCTGCAGCACGTCATTAATATCCGTGACCGTTCTGTGTTTAACAATCAAATACAATCTTCGTGGTATTGATTTAATTAAATATTGACACAAGGCTATCTATCCTTCGCGATAGCGTATTGGCGAGCCTATTGACGCAGACTGATTATTTCCATCATCGATTCCGTGACTCTGATCAGTCCGAAACATCCTCTCGTAAACGTAAAATATATTCCGTTGTATCTTGTTTAGACGGTGATTGACTGATATTTGCAATATTTGCAAATATCAGTCAATCACCGTCTCGAATCTGCACCGTGCACGGGCTCGAATCTGTAGCAAGTTATGCGTCTTATCGCCATGAAATTAACGCATCGCGCTGATTCCCCATGGCGTTTGCCGATTTTCTTCGCTCAGCGGCGAATGGAATTATCGGATCCCGCATTAGCAATTATTAGACATTGACCGATCACGCATCGTTAACGTAACCTATTTAATGGGAACACACTTGCATACATACATACATACGCATACGTGCGCGCACGCACAGAGTCATCAAGCTCGCTTTGATAATTATCAATACTCACTAGGTGAGCCACTAGGTGGTAGAGACGACGAGCGGTCGGCGTGCGCGCGACATAAATCTCGTAGCCCTGGTATTCATACTCGCGTTTGCGGTGGAAATACCTCGTATACCCGCGCGGCAAACTAAATTAACAGCATGCGGCGCAATTTTAGCGTAATGCAAATCGATAGCGCCGCGGCGTGCCCCCTTCGTGCCCCCGCCTCTCTCTCCTCCTACCCTCTGTCTGTGCCTCGCCAGAGCGTCACGAAATCGCCCGCTCTATACGGGTCTCGCGACATTTCACGTTGCCGGGACTATCGCTGGCGAGGCTGTAAATTTTGCAAACGGCTGGCGGCCGGCCAGACATTTTTATTACGTGCCCCATGGCGCAGCGTAACGCTCAGTCGTGCGCCCTTACGCTGACTAACAACGTCGTGTATCTGCGCTATCGGACGCAACCGTGTCATCTGTCCGCGACGGCATGACTACTTTATGGTGGTCGCCGCGACGTTTCCCGATCACATTTCGTTCTCACACGTCCGTCGCGAACTTAGGTCGCGAGCGCGCTTAGTGCTTGAACAGATAAGCCACTTCGTGTCGCCATGAATCTGTACAGACGGACTACTTCGTCGCGTCAGAGAGAAGCGCTTCAGATCTGCACAAAAGCACAAACCTGTCACAAGACCGGAAGAACACCGGGACACAAGCGCGATAGGAATCCCTATGTCTTTGTACTTTGTGCTCTTCCGCTCCTGTGACAGATTTGTGTTATACACACAGAAAAATACATACTGCGTTCAAGTAAATGTCACTCCAAATATTTATATATCAAATATTTCATAAATTTATATACTTGCAAATCTATCATAAGTTTGTCAAATTTACATAAAATTCTGAATCTTAGTGAGTTCAGCGTTTCGATCAAAAACATTCAATTAAAACAAAAGTTTGGTTTGTTTGCTACATAGAGTCGAATCGACTTTTTCAAAGTTTTGTAATGTTCTTATAAAGAGAATAGATTTTTCTTTTGAGTACATGGCAATGTACTCAATAATCGTTAAAAAAGAGAAAGTGTTGAGTAATTGAGTAATTGTTCTTCTTAGCAGTAGAACAGTATTTTTCTGTGTGCATATCACTCTGAAGTACTTTTCTGTGGCGCCATGCAAGTAGGCCGTCTGTACGGGTCTGTAGCGCTTCTCTGTGGCGCCACAAAGTGGTTCGTCTGTTCGAGCTTTTAGAGACGAAATTATTGCGCCCTGCGGTTGCGACCTGGCGATGTTCCCTTCGTCTCATCAGGGATTCGAGAAATGAGCTCCGATCGACGCTCCTTCTCGCGAATCCCGATGATTCCATAAGTTCTCATAACGTTACGGTAAAATATTTACGAGAGGAGATTGGATTACACGCGGTAGAAATATATAGGGAACTGGAGAATGTCCGAACGCAACTTCTGTCGGAGAACTCCCAAAGATCCCGCACGATCGTCATTAACGCCATCCGTTTTTCCGTTTCCTGGCCTCGTAAACCGATAACTATGAAACACGAGCCAACCTCAGAGACGTCAAGACCGTCTAAACGAGCTGGAGAACGGCGTAATCTTACCGATCACTCCTTCTCAGATACTCGCCTAAGCCACGAGTCCGACATCCCCCATCCGGATCAAGCGGGTCGCGACGCGATCGGTTCCCGTCTAACGACGCGATGTAGTGTCGTTTGTCGTCGTGGTAATGGTGATGTCGTCGTGCTGTTAACGGCCGCGGAAGACAAGGTGAGAAGACCAGACGATGAACGGCGAGCGAGACTCGTGATCGTCTCGCGCGGACTCCACGAAGAGTACCGCGACGATCCGCGGGAAAAAGGAGAAGAAAAAGAAGACGGTCCGGTGGGGCCCTGGCCATGGGGGAGACAGCATGTTCTCCGAGCTGTGCAGGGAGACCCTGCGGAAGGCAGCAGTGTGCTACAGTTCTGCTCGTGCAGGAAGTCCATCACCATCGCCACCAACGTCTCCGCCGCCATCACCCGCCAAGGAGGCAAAGACTGCTGCCAACGCTGACCTGGCAAATGTCCGTGATGCCGGCCACGAGGGAGCCAGAGACCACCAGCATCATTCAGGGACCACCGGAAGACGGGCGTCGCCGAGCGGAAACGCTACCGGCGAGCCCAGAGACCCGGCCGCGGAGAGATCGACGACCGATCGCTCGAACGACGTCAGGGAGTACGTTTACGTCCGGTGCGAGGCTGACATTGGCTCATTACTCTGAGTACCCTGCGGGGACCGGCCTGAGTATCGACCATTCATTTTTCTCGGGGGCTCGCGCTGTTTTGTCCTAACGTGGTTGGACCGTATTCTGGGTTTTTCGGTCGGAGAAAGTTCCTGATTTATTTATCGGCTGCCATTCAATACGACCGGTCAATCCGATTTGTGTGATTTTCAGCGCGCAATAAATTCGCGATTTTTGTTTGCAGGCTGTCCTATAGCCACGGAATCATGATATACATATATTAGGATCTTAACTTAGTTTCCGCCCAAAAAATACTGAGAAAAAGCATTTATTGTAAAAAATTTATTTAAATTATTTCAATGAAAGTATTTTCCATCACTTTCTACAACTTTTTGCCATCTTTCTGGCAACTGGGCGATACCATCTCGATAAAACGATGTTTGTTTCGAAGCAATCCATTCGTCCACCCATTCTCGCACTTCTTCAACATTTCGGAAGCGTGTACCACTCAAGCCGTGCTGCATCGATC